AGCCTCAGCGACACACAATATGTTCCCTGGTGACACATGGCCGATGTTGTTTACCATCTGGCCAGACACTCCAGCACACCTATGATATATTTGTGTGACATACTTTCATACCATATTCCTACATGGTCTTTTTATTGCGATTTTGCTTATTGTTGTTTGAGTTTCGTGTTCTCTCTTCTTGTTCTTGTTGTTCTATTTGCCTCTTCTTCCTCCTATTCTTCTTTTTTTTTTCTCCTTCTGCTTTCTTCTTCTCTCTCCTCTACTTCTTCTTCTTCTTCTTCTCCTCCTACTTCTTCCTCTTCTTCATATCTTTCTTCATTTACAACTAAAATAACGATACGGGTTTAATTTGGTGTTTTGATTGAGGTTCATCTTTTCAAAATCTTATCACTGGAGGCGGATTGTATAAACTACATTAATATTTGATTAGCTAACGAATCATCTTATTTACAGATAGCAATGGTGTCTTTTAAGGGTCGATAGAGATAACCAAAATTCATATCACATTTCATATCAAAGCAACAATTCGTCTGGCGTACAGATATTCATTAACTCTTGATAATCTATTCATACTTAACATAAAAAAGAGACATGTAATATTACCAGCTTATGTACCTTCGCATTTCTGAAAAGTGCTTCTCTTGCTTCAAAACCCCGATGTTCGCTTAAGTAAATATTTGTATATTAATCTACGTCTGTAAAGTAATTTAACATGCAGCGTGTATCTGAAAGGCTAATGCAGGAATGTAATGATTAGGTTTAATGTATAAAGAGAGGTTTATCTGATTTATATTTCACGAGGGAGTAGGTGCCATGGCAGACAAAATGGAAAGGTTGGGAAAAAGGCAGGAAAAATCAGCAAAATAATTTACAAAGAGAAGTGAATTACAGGAGTAAACAATGAAAACGAGAAAAAAAAACATATATATACGTATGTCCCAGAGCAGCTTGCAAATAAATATTGCATGCGATAAATTCTCACCTGTAATAAAACTTTAATGGATCACGCTACTAGACTGAGCATAGAGTAACAACGCAACGCAAATAAATTTATAAATGATTTAATATCCGCAGACGAATACATACTCTCGTGGTCATGACTTTAAAGAATGTCAGTGATATACAGGTGTTCAAGAAGGTGTTCAATTACGAAGGAGGGAACAAGAAAAAGAAGAGGAAGAAGAAGAAAAACGCGGAGGAAGTACAGGTGCGCTAGAAGTCGCTTACGAGGACCTCTATCGGGAAGACAGACAGATTAGCCGCGAGCGTGAAATAGTCTACGGGAGTTACACGCCGTGTTTCGGAACGCCATGGCTGCTGCGCGGCGAAAATAGATTGAAAGCCTTTCCTTATTACCGAAAATATCCTTTTCCCTACGCTTTCAGTCCGGTATCAGGAGCGTACGTACATATATATGTGTGTGTCAGTTTTATGTGTTTTCATTATGAATATTGAATCAAGCAAAAACAATGCGGGATTTTATCAAAACGCCGCTAGAGGTATGAATAATTCAAACTCACTCGCACTTCCCGATAAATCGATAAACCAACCTTACGACCGTTATGTTGCCCGGGTCTGGTAACACTGAACTTGAAAATATCACAAGGTTTATTAAACTGTTTTAGCCCACGATATAAACACCCCTATGGTCAAAAGGAGAGATCAATAAGACATTATACGTATGGATCTTAGTTAATAATCTTTTCTTATTTCGTTTCTATCTCTCTCTTCGATGATTTCTTTCTCTGAGGGAAAAAAAGGGAGGGATAGGAAACACTACAAGAAAGGGCAAATAACGAAGACTAAGAATAAGAAAAATAATATAAATATATTTACTATCATCATTTTTTTCTTTCTTTTTTTTTGTCAAAGTTTTCTTTCAATGGCCTTTCAGAACAGCAACTCCCAATTCAGCAATACATTTTCCCTCACCTGACAACGGCGGAGGGAAGCCACATAAATCTGCCACGGTATTAATCTCTCTGTCAGGTTTCGGCCGAGTGGGGGAAAAAATCGAAATAGCATCACCATGCGCTCTATGCTGGGTATGTGGCGGTCATGTATGCGCCAGTCGGAACCCACTCCCCCACCTACAGGCTCTCTATCTCATCTCCTAGTCTCTGATTCATATCATACGAGATTAATTCCTCATCCTGCTTTATTTTTCTTGTATCATCATCATTACTACCACTTCTCTCTATCTCCCTTTTCCCCCTAACTCGATTATTTGCTCAGAGTAGGCCTACACGGGCTGGGTGTTGGCGCAGGTCGGCCTAACCTTCCTTCCCCGGCCGCTGTGTGCGCTGCCAGGGGCGCACCCTCGGCGCAGGCCTCGCGTAGTAATGCAAGCACGCCCTCTATATCGGTCTGATATAAGAAGCCTATGCCAAAGTGTGTGAATAATGGCTTTATGAAATTTATTAATTTTTGTCATAACGCAGTCTCCCTCTTTGGGGCTGAGTCTTGCCTGTTGGTTAAAAAAAGGAAAAAAATAATGTGATTTTCATGATTGATATTTTTATTTAACGCTACTACATAAATATTATGATCTCAACTGCTAAATGGTCAGTGGATTTCTTCCCTAAAGAACTGTTTTAACATCAGCTTACAAATCATTGTTTTCCTACAAATCATTGGTAGTACTGAAACGACAGATCTGACTGACTTAGGATTTAGCTTGTAAAATCTCTCCAGAACCTTATATATTTTTTATTTTTATATTTTTTTCGTTTTTTAATTTTCTGAAAAAAAAACTTTTTACTTTTCTTAAATACACGGACACATACATTTAGAAAAGCTGGAGAGCTTTCTTCATTTTTACTTTATCCTTTACGTCTAGGCTATTACACAGACAAGAAAAACCGTTATTTAGAGATAACACAAACACTTATAGCAAATACGTATACACAGGCATGGCTAAAATTACCAGGATACAATGTGAATATGACAGTAACTCCTGCAGGGTAACCCAGAACCCCTGATGAATTTGTTTGCCCGAAAAGCAAATGGTATACTTCCTGCCTTCAGAGAGCCTCACTGGAGCCCCCACATTTCAGGCCGACCATTGTGAGTTGTCATTGGTAATTTGAACATAGAACTGCGGCCCCGATATTCGGTCCAGTGACGGCCTATCTGCGGCTCCTCCTGAAACGCTCGTCCCTCGTCCTTCCCTGCAGAGCACTGTCGTGAGATCCTCCTCGCCGCCGAGCCGCACAGCACGAGAGAACCCGCTTTTTCGGAGGATTTCGCGGAGTATCGGGTGTGCAGGTGGGTATACCAGGAGTCTCTGGTGGGTTTAGGCTTAGGGTTGGATCACGCAAGTCCCAAACTGCGGAATTTGCGGTCTGGGAAATGGCGTGGCCACCGCAGGTCCCGTGACGTCAGAGGCGCTCTTAGCGGCGGCGGCGGCGCCGGCGGCCTGCGGAAAAGACTCCGCCGATGGTAGCTTTGCAGTCTTTGTTCCGTCCTCACGTCCGCATGCGGCAAAGTTTCCTATCGGAGATATTAAATTTAGATACTTCAGAATAGGTTCTGTCTTTAGGTTATTTTTCAGATTACGAAAAACCATTAAATTAATTAAAAAATCGAGGATGAACTTTGACTCAGCTACACTGGAAGCGACGACGGCGCTCTGAACTCAAAATATATATCACATGAGTATGGTACTTGTCTTAATATTAATGAAGATAAATTAAAAAATAACAGTAATCAATGTATACTTTCCTTCCGTCGAATTTTCTGTGAATTAAGGTTAACAAACCATATAAGAAAAATAAATACATAAATAAACAAAGACAAGTAATTTCCAACTAGAAGTAAATAAATAAATTTCAACATAAAAGTACCTTCATCACACGCCATATATTTCCTCAATTAAAGTGAATGAACACGAGTAACAAATTCACTCCGAAATCAAATTTATTTCCCCGGAACATCGGCGGCGAGTGAGACGCCATCGCGCTTCCCACTCTCCCTTAAAAGCTAAATTCTCCTTAAAATCAATATTTCCTTAATCGTAACGAGTTGACTCTGTGAGAAAAGAAGATAAAGATCCTTTCAAATTGCAAAATTAACTCCCCAAAAGAGCAAGACAAGTACATAATTATATAACACTCCCTCTCCTCCTTAACCTGCGCCGGAGATATAAAGTATTCCCGCAACGATGAAAGACCCATAAGATCGCTCTTAAAAAAATTCCCCCCGTCTATAAACCCTCCTGAAGTGTGTGGGAATCTCGCCCAACGTGTGTGTTTAAGAGTAAGTTAACAAGCAATAAAGATAGCAATCAGCCAATTCGCAGCGGCTTTGGAGCGCCATATCAAGTGCTAAAACACTCGCTCTCATCACCATAAGGAACCATAAAGTCAAATTGTCCTAAGCTAGTGGCTGACATTGACCTTAAAGAGAGAGAATGGAAAGAAGAGACTCCCCGATATGCCTTTCGGAGCACATGGTAGAGAGCGTGGATTTTACTACATCGCGCAATCAAAACAAACCATAAAGTGAAGTTATGGCGGCCATGTTTCATGCTGATGACTGCGCATGCGTCGCCCCGCCCCCTGTGTATTCCTCCGCCGCGTGCTCGCTTCTGGGAGATTTTTCACATGTGTTCGTTCTCTTCCGCGCTATATCGGACAAGTTCCATCTATTCGTCTGTTTTATCATGCAATTAAGCTTACCAATTGTTGTTATTTTACACTGTTACATTTAGTTTGATAATTGCTATTGATTTTCAAGAAAAAAGTACTATCTGTGCAGCCAATAGGAAATCATTATCTTGCTACACAAGTTGCTGAGTGAAACACGTTTATGGCATCAACGTTGGAGGCGGGGCCGGGGGGGACGGAGACCTTACGAGAACGTTGGTGAACACGGTCAGTTCATGTTGTAGACGTCACCGGGTGTAGACGTAGCGGCTGGTTTCCCGGAATGAAATGCCAATTGCTTTCGACCAACTGCAATAAATACTTCAAATTATACCTTCAAGGGATAAAGACGCG